AGTTCTGGGTTTTTTAGCTTGTTTACTGTACACCTTGTCACATACGTAGCAGCTTTAAGGCATTGTTCTGTTTTTTGTTATAAATCAGAAATGACAAGGAGGCAGCTTCCCCCAATACAAAGTCAGTGGGGAGGGTTAGATTGCCCCCCCCTCTGGTGGGCGTGGTTTTCAGATTATGATGGGTGTCGCTCTGTCACTTCTTTCAAAAACAATAAATCTTACCAACCCCAAACCTTTGAAAATCTCATACATATAAACAAACATGACTTTTGGTTTCTCTGACCTGTGTACTTATTGACGTTGACTTGTGGTGCAACATCAGTCAGCGCAATAACGCCTTTCTCGACGTCACTGGCGGCTTCATCCATCTCTATGAGCGCGTGCGGACCCACGTTACCGCTGGCGTAGTTCGCCACGTAAATAGAGTATCGACCTGTTCCCTACAGCACAATAAATTCATTAAAATGCTAAACTAATTATAATATTGACTCACTTATTATTAAAAGATGGATAATTTAATTACCTTTCTGTCGACACAAGCCACGGAGCGTCCCGCCATGCGATTGGCCACGCCTCTGCGCACGTTGATGTCATCGCCGAGCAGATCCTCGAAGTGCCCGTTACGATACTTGAACAGTTTGTCAGCGTAAGTCGCCCGACCTTTAAGGAGTTAGTTTGGTTTTGTAAGCGATCGTTAAGTTTTGTGGGTCTATTTGTCACGGACACTCATGTTTTTCTGCGTACCTGAGAAGGCGTTGTTGGTGTTGAGGAAGTAGATCTCCTCTCTGCCGTCTCCGTCCACATCGCAGGCCGTCACTCCGATGGCGTTTCCCTGCAGGTCTCTCAGCGCGTAGTAAGGAGAACCGCGGTCATCCACCGCTATGTTCACGAGCTTGTTTTGGGTACGGTCATACTTCAGAACCAGGTTTGGGCCATTATACCTGACAACAGGCAAACAACAAAATCCTTAAAGGGTCATGAACTGAGAAACCAAAATTGTCTTGATCTTTTGACATATAAGAGGTCACTGTACTATAAAAACATC